AGGAACCAAGGCAATAAAAGTTGCATTTGCTCCCGAGTTAAAATTGCCTCTCTCATAGAACTCTTCAAAAACCTCCAACAAATCCTCTCTAATTATCTCCCAACAATCTTGATAGAAGGCCATTGAAAAATCATCAGGCCCAGGAGCTTTAGCTCGATCCATGGAGAAGATTGCATTTCTCACTTATTGGGCCTCAAATCTTTTTTCCAAAGATTCCAATAAGACACTATCTTCCACCCTCCACTCCAAGTCCTCTAAGCTTTCACTAGGTCTCCCTGGGTTGTCATACGCTAATTTGAAGTGATTAACCAAAGCTTGAGCTATATCATCTTCCCTTGTCAGCAATTGCCCATCCCACTCCAATTTTGAAACAGAATTCTTCCTTCTCCTACCATTTGCTAATGAATGAAAAAACCTTGTATTGATGTCTCATTCCTTTAGCCATTTGCACCTGGATTTTTGCCTCCAATTTATCTCCTCCTTCCTAAGATCTTCCAGTTCCTGTTTCAACTTCCATCTTTCCACCCTACCCTCTTCCCCCAGCCTTCTTTCAGCTTCTAGTCCATCTASCTCCTGCACTCTYTGAYYGATTTCCACTTTCCTTTGCTCTAATCTACCAAAAACCTCTTTATTCCAAATCTTGAGTCTAGCTTTCARDAGTTGTAGTTTCTTGTAAAACCTATACCCCTTCCATCGGAATTCCACTTGGTCCACTTCCCACCATTCTTTTACCTTAGCTAGAAACTCTAGATGAAGTAACCACATGTTTTCAATCCTAAAAGGGCACGGGCCTCCATCTAGTCTTTCTTGAGACAACCATATTGGGCAATGATCTGAAATAGGTCTCGGCAATGCTGTAACACCTAAAATCCCCCATTCAGCTTCCCAATCCATTTAAAGAGGAACCTATCCAATCGACAACAGGTAGGGTTTTCTTGGAAGTTTGACTGGGTAAAATTTGCTTGCTGAAGAGGGAGGTCCCTCAATGCAAAATTCTCCGCAAAGAGATTAAACTTCCTCATGCTAGATGTAATCCTACGACTAGGGTTATTGGACTCGTTCAAGAATCTTATTACATTGAAATCCCCACCCAAACACCAAGGGCTATCCCACAAACCCCTAATGGCTGCTAGTTCTTCCTAGAAACCTTCCCTTTCCCTGTAAGAGGTGGGATCATAGACATTAGTTATCACCCAAGCCCACCCATCTTCCTTTCTCTTCAATTTTATTGGCACCGAGAAGTTCCCAATTAATTCTTCTTCACACTCTCAGTCTTCATTTCTCCACAAAGTAATAATTCCCCCTGAAGCTCCCCACGATTGTGCAAAGGCCCAACTGAAGACTTATGAAACATCTTACTGCATTAGGGATCTTCTCCACCTTTGGATTCATTGAGTTAGCATTGATACTTTCTAACTCCAAGACTGTGTTCTTCTCAAAGACTACCTAACTACCCTCTTCAAGTCCATTCCTTTCAACTTAAGATGACCTCAGTCTGTTTTGAGTATCAACACTCCTTACAATACACCAAGCTGTCTCAGGATACAAATTATTCTCCCTTTTCTTCGAAGGCCTGGAATTTTTCTTCCAACTCCTTAAAAGTTTTTCTTGCAAATTCCTCTCCTCCGAGAGAAAACAAGTTTAAAGATTTACTACCTCTGTATTCATTACTGTATCCACATGGATTGTTTTATTAATTACATGGCATTTTAAATTGATTTCATCATTAACTGGTAAAAAGTGATACAATCATTAAACACTCCAGTTGTTACAACTTATTTTGTGTCACTTTTGGTTTCAATTTGTTCATAGATCTATCATCTATTAGTTGAACTGATGTTGTCTTGCTGCTGGGCTGGCTAGGATGTGATAGCTTAGTGAAATGACAATACTGAAGCATCATGAGGGAGATAAAGGCTGTAAAGGGATTTGCATTCCAGTTTTAATTGGGTAGCAAGAATAGCCAATGCAATGACGGATGCATTGGCTAAACGAAGGGATAAATAAACAACACCTGTTCTGTGTGCAAGTTGGGTATATATAATGTATAGCAGCTTTATGTTAGGAAAAGGGAGAGAATAAAATCTAGGGTTACTGCCAGCATATGTTTTGATGGGATGTTTTGCATTATTGTTTGTAACCAATTCTTTATTTCTATAAATAAAATTTCTGTTATCAATAAAAAATGCTGGTTGTCTTGGTAGTTTATTACTGAAATAATTAGTTTTTAAATTTGTTATTGTTAATTTTTATGTAAAAATTGATTAAAAGTTACAAAAGTTTAAAATAAATTTACATATAAAATGCATGTAGGACATACATCAATAATGAGTAAGCATTTACATATTCTTTCTTTTTCAGAGATTTTTTTTGTTCAATTTTCTTTTTGAGAGAATTTGTTTACATTTAAAAGCATTATAATATATTTTCCATTTAAACTAATTATTTAATTAAAATAAAAATTAGGAACATCATATTGACTAGGCATACATCATGAGTTGAAGTATTTCTACAATTTGGCATTTGGTTGGCATATCATTAATGATGCTAGTTATAATGCAACTTATGGAAGCAACGATACAAAATCAAGAAATAGTTTTGCATATAAATTATAAAAATGATTATAGCTATGTGGTATTGATGGAGGATGACTTGAGCAAGCATGAAACTCCTTGCATTAGTGATGCAAATCCCCTGCTTACTCATCCAAAGAAACACAAAGTTGTACAGAATTCTTTGGTTGTTTTGTTTTATCTTTTCTTGCTCATTTGCTTTACAATATACATTTGGATGCACAAAACTTACTTTTGATGGTATTCATATACTCGCACAGTCACACCAATTAAGCATTGCCAATTTTGGTCCCCCATCATGTTTTGTTGTACATTGATGAGAACCCTTGGTTATATTGTTTCAAATTTTCATGTTTATTTGCTTTCCAAATGTAATAATTGAATGTATAACACTTTGGAAAACAAGATGATGTCAAAGGAACGAGTAATTCTGAGGACAGTGAACTCTTTGCTCTTAGTTGGCAGCACAAGACCAATTCAAAATATATCTCACCATATTTTCTTTCCTTTTCCTTTTTATTTTTCAGCTGAGTACACTGTTTGTATAACTGAATTTTAGTAGTCTGCCTGCTAGTTGAGCTAATTTTGTGACACTTTAATCTTTACATGTATAGTTTCTCACTATACATGATGTTTACTTGTACATGCTGATTTATAGAATCATTAATACGATATTTTACCTACTTTTCAAAAAAACCCTTACTTTTGATGGTATCTACAAATTCATGACAATGGGACATTGCCTTTTTTCTTTTCCCTGTGTCATGGTTGTGTAATTACACCAATGTCTTGTGAATTTTCATTATAAATGTTGACTTCCCCTCCCCCCCCCCTCAATCTTTCATGGAGTAGCTGATATTTTCCAGTATTCTAATATACTTTTCATCTGTGCATTCCTGATTATGTCTTGCCCCTAAACAGTCCAACCAAATAAGATTTTGAAGTTTGGCATTTTCAAGCATCTCAAAATTTATAACTCAAACTGCAAAGGAAAAATGAGAAAATGCTATTATTGAAGGAGTTCTTATCTCCTATTTTTTATTCCTTTTCTTTTTTTCTGTGTTTTTCCACCCAGGGGGGGGGGGGGGTAACAACATTGGCCAGTTGTGAGTTCAACTTGTTGATTAGTAATGGTCAAAGTTCAAAATATCAACACACATGATACCAAAAAATTGTGTATCACGCATATTGTTTGGTCGATACACATTTTTTTTTTAAATTTTTCAGCCTGATAATTGAGAGATAGGCTGATGAGGATGCATTCTATCATCCAAAACATTCAAAATCCCTAAACCTTTTTGTATTTCATATCTTGCTCTTGAGTCATTCTTGCAAGTTTTGGTTTGCATGTATGTGTTGGATCCTAAGTGGGCTCATTTAGCATCATATATCAATTATAGTTCAAGCTATAGTTGTATGGGAAAACAATGTTCCAGATGTTTAACATCCTTGCCTATTTTTCTTGCGGATGTTTAATTTTGAGTTTATACAAAACATTGTCAAAGGTTTGGATACAGCTAAGATTTTTCTTTGAATAGGTTTATCCGTTCTGAGGAGGATGATATGGACACATCTTGGGAGCAAAGACTGGTGAAACGTTACTATGATAAGCTTTTTAAAGAGTATCCTTTGGAAAGGAATGCTATCACATTAATTTATCTTGGGTTTGGAACCTTGATTTTATTGCTATGTTTCATCTTGCAATCTTTTCATTTGATATTTTATTATCAAATTTGATTTTATATAGAAGGAAATATACAGCTGTTTTTACTATAGTATTTTTGTGTGGCAAGCCATTTCTTCCCTTTCAGCCATGCTTTCTTTTCCCGATGAAAACTTAAGTCATCTCAACTTTAAATTGAGAAAGACCACCATATCCGCTCAATATTTTAAGAACTAAAATGGACATTGGAATGATGTTCCATGATTTTCTTGGCAACAAATTTGACTTTGTAGGCAGAGCTTCACTTGGTGATAAATCTGACCATCATCCATCTCCCTTCCCCAGAAACAAACTTGGCCTTTATCCATAAATCCCCTCTTGGTGATAAATCTAACCTTTACCAGGGGATTTCTTTCATATTTCTTGATGATAAGTTTAACCTTCATTAGTGGAACCCCTTATCTAGCGCTAAATTGCCAGAAGGGCCTTGTTCCTTTCATCTAGTATTGAACCTAACCTTTTTTGAAAAGGGTAAAGGTAATACAAGAGATAGGTGACAAGACATCACTTACAACACACATACAACAGAACCAAACCTCCTCCCCTCTCAATATAATAATAACACCACCTCAACGAACATAAAAGTGCCACTCCTATGACCACAACACCTGAAATACTTACCTCCCAACTAACACCAAACACCGCATCCCTCATTCCCTCCAGAGTTTTTCCATTCCACTACCTGCCCCTTTCCACCCATACAGCCAATAGCTAACAACCCTCCCCAGTCCCCTCAAATGCAAACAACCATCTCCTATACACCTAAGTCCCAACATTGGTACTGTCCAATGGAGAGGGTGACTCTCTAAGGGCTGAGATTTTTGCGGCCTTGGAAGGAGTCCAAAGAGCAAGAGAGTTGAATGTTTGAAGGCTGATAGTTGAAGGTGACTCGGAGGTGGTGGTAAGATGGTTAAAGGAAGACAAGACTGCAATGTGGAATTACAGCAATGAAAGGAAAAAAATTAAATGACTGGCTAAGGATATTGAGATGAAGTACAGTTGGGTGAAGAGATCTGCTAACTCATTTGCTGATGGGCTAGTAAAGAAAGGGGTGAATAAGGATTCTTTGTTTTGGGCTCATTTCTAATCTTGTAATCTCGTTTTGCTGGTTGCAGGGTAGTTAAGATAGTTCACCTCCCTATGCTTGTATGTATATTTTTTTCCTTAAATTTTAATGAAATTACATGTTATTGATAAAAAAAAGAAATGAAATTTTTACAGGATCACATCTTGCTTCCACCCAATGAATTGGATAACAATTCTTTTTGCTGTTAATTAAAGTACCATCAATATCCCTATGGTTCTCATCAATATGATTAGTTGCTTAGGTTGCTACCATCTCCAAGATGAAGTATATTTTCATCATTACTGTATTTAACATGGATGCTTCAAAGATGGATAATACTTTTTGTAGTAGGAATCTGCTGAATTAAAAAATATGAAAGAAAGTAGTTTCTTGAAGAGAGAAGGAGAAGAAGAGAAGTTTGAAAGAAAAGAAAGCAAAAATCTGGCCGCCCCCTTCACTTATTATTTATACTAAAATAATAGAACAATACAAAGACAACTATGCCCTTATAGGGTGGAAAAACATAAAAACAGCATATATAACACAAAAACATAATAAAATTTGGACTCACATAACTACTATGGTCCCCACCTCCTATCTAACAACTAACATAAAACATCTACTCATAAAACTAATTAATCTTCAACACTCCCCCTCAAGTTGGGAGTAAATGTCACACATTCCCAACTTGCGTAGATCATGTTCAAGCTTGTTCTTTGCCACCCCTTTAGTGAGAACATCAGCCAACTACAACTCTGAAGAGACATAAGGCAAACAAACTTCTCCAGTTGTTACCCTTTCTCTTATAAAATGTCTATCAACTTCAATGTGTTTTGTTCTATCATGCTGAATTGTATTGTGGGCAATATTGATTGCAGCCTGATTGTCACAGTATAACATCATAGGTTCCTTTGCTTTCACCCCAATCTCACTCAAAAGAGATCTAACCCAACTGAGACACCATGAGCCATGGATTTATACTCAGCCTATGCACTTGACCTTGCCACAACCGCTTGCTTCTTACTCTTCCA